TCCCTCCTCCCCCCCCCACCCCCAGCCAGCCTGGCGCTGGCCCGGCACGAGGTGAGTTGCGGGGCGAGAGCACCGCTCCGCCGGGGACTACCCCGCAGCCTCGATTTCGCGCACGGGGGGAGGGGTTCGGGGTCGGGGTCTGATGCGCCCGCCCCGGCCGTGTGCGGTGCAGGGCTCCCTCCCCTCCCCCCCCGGCCTGGTCCATCCGGGGGGCAGCCCGGGGACACCTGTGCTCCCCGATGGCGCTGTCCGTTGGGGGTTGTGACGTAGGCGGGAGGGGCCGTGCGGGGAGTGTTGGCCCCTCACAGCCTCCCCCGGGGGCTCTGCGCAGCATGGGGCCCTGGTCAGGCTCCCCTCGCCCTGCCCACCGCCCCTGGGGCTTCTGGGCAAGGGGCGCTCCGCTTTGCTCTGCCTCCTGTCCCCGAGCAGAGCCGGGAGGTGTCTAGTGTTGTGGTCTTGTGCTTCCGCCCCCCAGCTGGTCTCTGCCACGGTGTTGGTGTTAAGGCGCAGATCTGGGACTGGGCTTTGTGCAGCACTTGCCTGTGGCACGCTGCCTGCACGCGCTGTTCACTTAAGGTGCCTGGTGGGGGCCCCACGCGTCACCTACTCCTTTCACGCTGTTTTTCCATGAAAGCAATTGCGCGACCGTGGTTAGCCCCCTTGAGGCCCGTTGCAGCCCCTCCTGGCTGCAACTGACTGAGAAGTGAGGCCATGCAGGAGGTTGAGCCTGTATTGCCTGGGAGTGTTTGTTTCTAAACAGTGGAGAGCAGCAGTTGCCCAACTGTGGGTGGTGACCCTTACCAGGGTCGCAGCATCAGCCGGTGGGGGTGAAGGGCTGTGGGCTGGGAGTGAGGGGCCACACTGAGGAAATGGGGCCCTAAATGGAGTTATGCTGGGGGAAAATTTGGGAAGCACTGGTGTAGAGTCTCCCACTCCCTAGCTAAACAAATGTGAGTGTTTTTATCTCATAAGGTGGCTTTTTGTTTATATATAATATACGTGTTGCTTTACTTTATGAGCCCCTAAGCCAAGTTTTCAGAGGTGGTTCCTGACATTGTACTTAGTTGTAGAGAAGTCAGGCTGAAAGGGACCTCCTTATCCAAACCATCCCATACAACCATAATCTAAACTGTTACCCTCATCCCTGACACAAAATAGACTTGATGCCCTAACTTGCAAGAAAACCACAGCAGCTGGTGTCCTTCTCTAATTTACACACAGATTTTGTAATTCCTGTGTACATCAGGCACGTAACTGCCCATGTAGTCCAAGCAGCCTACTGTTGCGAGTGAAGTACGTGTGGCTGGATGCTACGCACAGTCATCTATGAAATGTTGTCTTTGTTAACTTATGGAGCTTGGGCAACTAAAATAGGTGAAGTGGCTGATTGGGACATATGCATCTAAAAAAATACTCTAGGTGTTTGTTTGTGGCATAGAACTTGATGTTGCAGTAAAACACTGTAGAGAATTTACTCATAATTCCCTGCTTTCAGCACATTCAGATTAGGTCACATCTGATTCTAGAGACAGGCAAGCTGTACCTGCTTGCATTTGGCATCTCTTTAATTATTATAATGTCTGGATGTCCCAGCTGCCAGCTCCCCGTTATGTTAATAGAGTCAAAGAACCTTGGTTTAGCTGTTAAGGTTGAAGGTACTTCAAATGAAAGTTAAAACTGACATCTTTATAAACCAAAGGTGTCACTGGGCTGGGTCCAGTCACAGTGGCATGGGTCGGGCAGTCATATGGATCTGGGGTGGGTGGTGGGCGTCGGACTGTAGCAGATGAATTAAGTCCATATCTGCACAGCCTTGCTGGCCCCTGACTGCCAATGACCATGTCCATTGGTTCCCAGGGACCCCAAATTCTGTGGTAGCCCATGCCTTGCTAGTCCTGGCCTGCAGCTTCCAGCAGCTTGTTGGATGGAACAGTTCTGTGGGCTGGATTTGGCCTGTGAGCCCTGTGTTTGACACCATGACTTAGGCTTAGGAAACTGTCAGACACCATTTATTGTGTGTTGCAAATGTATTAGTACGTGGTAACAGTGTAGCATTATTGATCAATGCACAACTGTTATAAATAATTAACATCATATGGATATAAGCTTTTCATTACTTTTTTGGGGGGAATTCTATGAAGTGGTTGAAAAAACAAAAACAAACTCATGTCTTGTTCTCTCTCCCCCTTCCATCTCTTGAGGTACAGAATTGTGGTTGACTCCCTTCTGAACAGTGGCACATAGGGATAATTTTTGGTGTCATGTATTACCTCAAATTAATCACCAGAGCATTACCACTGAATGGCTTAAGACCAGATCTTTCTCCAAAACTGAACCTGGTCCAGCTTAACGTTTGTAACCAGAAGCCAGTCTTTCATCTTTTTCAAAAGACTGTGCAGTCTATTTGTAAGTTGTTTTCCAGATGGCAACCTTTAAGCTACCACTTACTTAAGTAAGTCAGAAATATTTTCCTGAGTGATAGTAAAAGCTGCTGTCTGGAAAGCAAATCATGAACAGACTCTACTCTGTCTTGTGGAAAGATGAAAGACTGGCTTCTGATGTCAAATATTGCTGCATATTTAATTTGCTTATGATAAGTCAGTTGCTGAATTTGTATAAAATACTGGATAGTTTGTGATCACATTTTACCCTGAAGCTTATTCATTAGAGGGCTGTGTATAAGAAAAAGCCAGAATTCTGAGAGTATCTGATACTCTAATATAAGCTGTGTAATGATTTGCATGTCTGACATAGCAGATCTGCAAGTCTTTGCTTTATAGACCTTTGATTTTGCTGGAGTTGAGAATAAGAGGCTGTTCTAATATAAAGAGAGAATCTGGTGTAAACATTTTACTGTTATAGGTGTCCAGGGATTTTTAAAAATGTAAATGAAATACTCCACTTTGCTTTGTGCAACATTTTTACTATGCTCAGTTAATTTACAAATGAAATATTATTTAGTTTGCTACTTTTGCTTTGTGATTGTTATTTGTTACTAGTATGTTTGCAACATAGTTGCATGACTGCCAGCAGCAGAACTATTATAATGTTCATAAAGGAAAGGGATTTATTGATGATTATCTGGTCTGAAAGTGACATTCCAAATCAAACCAGGATAGTTTAGGTTATGGAAAGCCTTATTATTTAGAGTTGTTTGTGCTAAATTCATATACGTTTTTATGCATATGCATTACTTGTGACATTTCTCCTAGGGAGTTCTCTATAGTAGTGGGAAAAAATCAAGTTTTTTCCCTTCTTCCCTTGAAATACTATCTTGTGGCCACCATCTTTCTGGCTTTGATATCATACAGGGTATATAGTTCTTGTTATGACTAAGTGTACGCTAGGTCTAACCAAACAAAATAGTACTCCTTTTCCAAATTTGTCACGGTGGGTGAGAATTCTGAAATCTTGATTTTTGTTGTTGTTGTTGTTGTTGTTGGTTTTTTTTTTTTTTAATTTTGGGGTTGTTTTTTTTACACTTTTCAGTAGTAAAATACCAAAGCTTTATATACAAATTAAATGCGTGCCTATCTTTCTCCATTGGCACATGTAATTAACTCCAGAAAATGGTAATGGGGTTTGATACAACAAAGAGAAAATTATTCTCATCTTCTCTGGTGTCTTGTGATTAGTCTATATATAACCTTAAAATTAGGTGTTGAAACCTCATAAAAGAAACTTTCTAGTTGTGCCAGTTTATGTGGCTATCAAAATACCTGTTAATAGGATTACTGCTTATGAGTTTGGAGAGCTGTGTTTGACTGGATCATCATGATGTAGTGTATGGATACATACACTTAAAGGTGAATAAGTGAGTGTGAAATAACTTTAGTGGGATCTTTTTTAACATTTCAGTCTGCATGGATTCTTCCTTTCTGAAGGTGGGAAGGGAGTGAAAAGTCAAAGGTCCTCATAATTCAAGTTAAATGAGTTCATGGAAGGAACCTTCCACATGAACAGATCCCTTCCCTTTTGTGTAGAACAGAGGAAAAATATTTTACCTATAAGAGATTCGTGTGCCTGTCTACAGAGTTCAGTAGTGGCTTGCTGAGAGTGGAAGAGGGAGGGTTGTGCTCTCTGGACAATGATGTGGCTCCAGAAGAAACTGCTAATATGAAGATAGACTTGTAAAATATCAGAACTTTTTGTAAAATATGTCTATGAAGATCCAAAGTCTGCAAGATTAGGAAGGAATTCAGGATCCTTTTAAAGAAAGGGTAAGCAATCTGTTCATTTAAAAATGCCAGAGAAATTAAAGCCTTAAAAGCAATTGGCATAACCTGAGATGTGGATTTAAATAATAGCTGTATTTGTGTAATCCACTCTCTGGCCTCTCTTATTCCAGTATTAAGTTTAGTTTAACGCCTTACCAAATTACATTGAAAAACTACTGTGTTGCTTGGGAAGAGGTTTAAATTAAAACAAGGGTTAGTGTGCAGACACATGCAATGATTGAACCATTCACAAATGTCACCAATTCAGAACCAGCTCCCAATTTTGTGCATGAAGTTCTGTAACTGACAACAGGGGTTGGGAATGAGCACCTAGCCCAGTACATTTCATAAGGGGCAAGGTAGGGGCTGGGGAGGGAGTGGTTACACCCATGCTTCAGGGGTGAGTGATCTGTGATTGGGGCATCTTCACTCTTATGCTTTCCCTTCTCCCCTAAACCAAAAGCCTTCAATGTGATCATGGGATACCAGCTCTTGGTGAAACTGACCAATTGTGGCCTTGGGTCCACCATGATCCACTGGCTGGGAAATTGGCTCCGTGGTCAGACCCAGAGGGTTGTAATTGATGGCAGTCACTCATCATGGTGTCCTGTGACCAGTGGGGTCCCCCAAGGCTCTGTCCTTGGACCCATATTGTTCAACATCTTCATTAATGATGTGGACATTGGAGTCGGGAGCAGACCGGCCAAGTTCGCCGATGACACCAAACTTTGGGGCAAAGCATCCATGCCAGAAGACAGGCAGGTGATCCAGGCTGACCTGGACAGGCTCAGCAAATGGGTGGAAGAGAACCTGATGGTGTTTAACACCAAAAAA